TTTCCAATAGAACTCTTTACTCTCTACCTTAATTTGGAAAGGAGAAAATTAGTGAATAAAAAAAAGGTTGGTCAGCTTTTGTGGCCTTTGAGGTAACTTGTAACTTGTAAGAAACTTATAAGCATCCTACTTCATGTTACCGAACGCTAATATAAGAGCATGAGTGCTTAAAGTAGCTTATAACCACCAAATAAGTAATTATAAACACAATTTTGCAGAGGCTCGAAAATAATGCTAGCTTTATGCCTTCCATGAGAAGCTCTGTTGGGGTGATGCCTTCTGAAGAGCACACATCAATTGAACTGGCTGGACCAGATAGGCCTGGTTTATTATCAGAAGTATGTGCAGTTCTTGCAGACCTTCGCTGTAACGTTGTAAATGCTGATATATGGACACACAATTGTAGAGCTGCCGCTGTAGTTCGCGTAACAGATGATTCGACTGGATGTGCAATTAAAGATCCGGATCGTCTCTCAACTATAAAAGAGTTGCTTTGCAATGTCCTTAAAGGGAATAATGACTTGAAAACCGCAAAAATGACACTTTCAGCGTCTCGAATCATGCATACAGAACGACGCTTACATCAGATTATGTTTGCAGATAGGGACTACGAAAAGGTTGAGAAAGCAGGAACAGGAATTAATGTTGAGGATAGGAGCACAAGACCTCATGTTACTTTGTTGAATATCGAGAAAGATTACACAGTGATTACTATGAAATCGAAAGACCGGCCTAAACTGTTGTTTGACATTATTTGCACCTTAACAGACATGCAATATGTTGTCTTCCATGGAATGGTCAACACCGGAAAGATGGAAGCTTACCAGGTAAGATGCTTTTTCAGAAAAAGCTACTTAAGTACCATGTGACTTAGCCAACTTCTTTTTGTCTGGTAAGTAGACTATGAATGTAAGTACCAACTAGGAGCAGGGTTTTCAATATGAACTTCTTATGTTGCACTGAAATCCTTTTTTGTTTTGTGTTCGTTTGTTTGATTTTGCATGACTAAAACCATGTTTGGCTCACTTTAAATTCTAAGAGCTTATAAGCTATAGGGTTTATAGGCACTTCAATAGCTTATGATGATACAGTTTTTTCTTATATGCTCTTTTATATTTATCAAGTATGTTAAAAAATTTAAAACACTTATCAGAAAAATTTATATAATTCATCTTGATTAAAAAAAACACGACGAGGCAAACACCATATTTTATCTGTTAACGGTTGGCTAATGACAGTAATTGTTTCCTCTTTCTCATTAAACAGAATTATAATTGTTTCCTCTTTCTCATTAAACAGAATTATTCTGTTTGGTTGTAGGAATTCTATATCAGACACATTGATGGACTCCCCATAAGCTCAGATGCTGAGCGAGAACGTGTTGTACAATGTCTGGAAGCAGCCATTGAAAGACGAGCATCTGAGGTAAACGAAAAGCAGAAAACTTGCAAGAAAAACTCAAGTTCCATGGGCATTACAAGCTATGAAATCCATACTAAGATGCCTTTACTTACATTGCAGGGACTGGAGCTAGAATTATGCACAGAAGACCGAGTTGGACTTCTCTCAGACATCACAAGGATTTTTCGAGAAAACAGTTTGTGCGTCAAGCGAGCAGAAATCTCAACAAAAGGTGGGAAGGCTAACGACAGATTCTACGTTACAGATGTAACAGGAAACCCAGTTGATCCCAAGATCATTGACTCAATTCGACAACAGATTGGAGTAACCAAACTACAGGTGAAACACAACTCAATGCTTCAACCAAAACCTCCTCGGGAGACGACAATTG